AAGTAGCCTGACGCTCTGCTTGTTCTTGCCCTCTCAGTTCAGCATCTTCTAAAGATTCTAGCGATCGAGCTAATCTTTTCGCTTGTCTTTGAGAAGATACTCTTGAAAGGCTGGACTTACGTTTGCGAGGCATTATGAAGTAATAAAAATCCTATTTATAAAAAAACGTTAAAATACCTAAAAGGAATTAAATTTCCTTTTAAATATTTTGTTAAAAGTTAATCTAAAATATCTAAAAGGAATAAATATTCCTTTTAAATATTTTTTAAAATCAAAACAAGAAAACCAATTCAAGACACAACACGAATCAGAAAACGATAGCCAAAAAAAATCGAATCAACTTAAACCAAATCACAAAACAAATCACAGAAAACCGAAATCGAAAGCAGTAGTCAATATAAATATAACCAAAGAAAAAAAGAAATAAGTGTATAGGTACCGTATACACTATCTATACTATTAATATTCCTTTGAAATATTGTTAAACAACCTAAAACAACGAAAACCAATTCACGATTATAAATAAACAAAATCCAAAATCAAAGCCTGAGTCTAAATATGTATAACGGAATACCGACCAAATCAACAAAACCGATCCAAGAAAATACACAAATCCGAAAATGAAAGCCAATATAAATCCATTCAACTTTGACCAATTCACAAAGCAAATAACAAACAACCAAAATCGAAAGCAGGTAGTCGAATAAGCTACGAAATACGATGTAGGTAGCCGGAGGATTTTTCCTCTCCGGTTGATACTTCATATCTCTCCTACCCGGGGTACAAATTAGAACATTCCTTTATGTCCCGGGCTGGAGTTTGCGTGTACGTCAGAGAAGACATCTTCCTCTAGCCTCTTCTGATTCTTCTGACATGCCTCAGCATTCTTAAAGGGAAAAAGGACTTGTCCATCCTATAGCTGCGCATAGATAGCGACAACCATACCCGCGTCTACGGGTGCCTCTATAGGTCCCATTACCAGTAATACTGAAACAGACCGACTCATTGACCACATTTAAATGACTACAGATTCCGTGCTGGAGCAGATCCCATCCGTAGAGATCGTGATCCTTGGTGATTTCAACGCCCACCACGCCGAATGGCTCGATTTACGTTTAACCGATCATGCGGGAAGATCTGTTTACGACTTTACTTTGGCATAGGGTCTGACACAACTGGTTACTGCACCTACGCGGATTTCAGATGTGGAAAATCATACACCTTTCCCGTTGGACCATCTGCTAACCTCTCATCCGAACGGATATCAGGTTTCCGTCGACGCTCCTTTAGGCTCGTCTGACCATTGTATTGTCCGGAGTGTGGTACCTGTCACATTAACGTCGCGGTTGCATTCTGCAGGCTGCTGCTGTGTTTGGCATTATAGGTCGATCGATTGGGATGGGATGCGGTCTTTTTTGCATCCTACCCTTGGAGGAGGGTTTGTTTCTTGTCGGACGATCCTAGCGTTGTTGCTGACTCTGTCACTGATGTGGTACTTCAGGGTATGGAACTTTTTATTCCATCCTCTCTGGTGCCCACCGGAGGCAGATCCCAGTCATGGTTTGATCGCTCCTGTAAAATAGCATCACGCTATAAGCAGGAGTGCTACCGAACCCGGGCTGACGCATCATCATCTCGGAATGTAAATACCAGCACTCTTAAAAAGGAGTATAATTCCGCCTCCAGGTCCTTCCACATCGGCAGAATTGACGAGGAGCTAGTTCCCCTTCCTTTGGGAACCCGTGCATTCTTGTCTCTCGCCAAGGCTGTCCAAGGGAACTTCTGTCAGTCATCACTACCATCTCTGCACAGAGACGACGACTCACTGGCCCATGCCGCAAAGGAGAAAGCCGATGAATGAATGAATATACTTTTATTGTACACCACAAACAAATATACAGATAACAAAACAACAACCAGATTGTATGTAAGTACAATTTGGCGGCCTTATCGCTACATAGCGATCTCTTCCAGGCAACCAAAGGTGTAAAGGATTAGAAGAATGAAAACTAGGTACGTGGTTCAATATAAATGTGCATAATATAATATCAATACTTGCGATTACATGCAATAAAATAACATATAAATAACTAATACATTGAATTATATAAATTACTAAAATATAATTTAAAAAAATAAATAATTAAGTAAAACATATAATATTCACATATACATACAAATATATAAACAAACTTACACATTTACCCAAAAATATATATATGTATAAATATGCTTCACATATACGCAACGGTAGGGCATTCCAGAGCTTGATAGACTGGACAGTGAAATATTTATTAAAAAAAGAGCTTTTTATATAGAAGAGGGGGCAAACGAGCATGCGGCTCACCTGATGTTAAGTGACTACCGCCGCCCATGATCAACCGCAACACCAGGGGAATTGCAGGTGCGTTGCCGGCCCTTTCGAAAGGAGTAAGCTCTTTTCTTGAAGGTCCCCAGGTCGTATCGGTCCGGAAAAATCGCCGGTGGTAAACTATTCCACAGAGAGGTCGTACGCGGAAGAAAATTCCTTTTGAAACGTACTGTAGTGGACCGCCAAGCATCCAGATAGTGTGGATGGTATCGGAACATTTGCCGCGTAGTGCGTTCACGAAATTTGGCGGCTGGGATTAATCCGAACAATTACTCAGAGCACTCTCCATGGTATATGCGAAATAAAATGCAAAGAGATGCAACATCTCTTCGCAGTGCCAGTGAATCGAGCCGATCGGAAAGCACTCGGTCGTCGACGGTTCGAGCCGCTCTGCGCTGGATGCGGTCAAGTGGAAGGAGCTGGTACTGGGGAGCCGCAGCCCAGAGATGGGAACAGTATTCCATGTGCGGCCGAACCTGTGCCTTGTAAAGTCGCAGGCGGTGTGCCGGCATGAAATACTGTCCCGCTCAGCTGAGCTCGCCGAGCTTTTTAGAGGCCAATTTGGCTTTCTCTTCCAAGTGACCACGAAACTGCACGTCACTCGATATGTCAACGCCGAGGATTCCGATACTGGCTGAGGCAACAAGGGAGTCCCTTGAAACTGAGGAAATGCGACAAAGGGGTTCTTTTTAGCGGTTAACGCGCAAACTTGTGTCTTCTGGGGGTTAAACTAGACTAGATTTAGTCGCCCCCAATCCGAGACTCTGTTCAGCAAAGACTCGACTTCAGACACAAGTTTGTCCCGGCACTCGGAGCCGTTTTCCCGAGAAATATTGGCTCGGCCGGTGTAAAAAGCATCACCAGTGCTGTCATCTGTATAGCAATGAATGTTACGGGTTTGCAACATATCATTGATATGCAGAAGAAACAGTGGTGGCTTGTGGAACACCAGCATTAATAGGCTTGCAATCGGAGCTTGCACCGTCTACAACGACCTTGATGCAACAACATGATGATGCATACAACGTTTTATAGGATAGGGTGACAAACGAGCACACAGTCCACCTGATGGTAAGTAGTTACTGCGGCCCATACACATCTAGATCTATCCTCGATTACGAATCAAAATGTAGATGCGTTGTCACCCGTGAGGACTAAGATGGAATGCCTCTTTTCCAGTAAAAAGGGTCTCCGGTCTCTACACTCACCACACGAAATACAGCACCATTAAGCTACTATTTCACGCTGGTATTCTGTGAGAGCGTGGTCCTTCCCCGGTCGAGCCAACCCATTAGTGCTACAACTATACTACAAATATAACTGCAGCATGGCTCTACCACGTAAAAATAGTATATAGTATTGTGAGTTGGTACCCTTAAAATGAATTTTCTTAAAGAGCGTAAGAGGTTCTCCTGGAAGCCCTACAAAATTAAACTTATCCTTTAGATAGGTAGAAGTAGAAGGGTGAAATAATACACAGTACAGAATAGAAAGAATATGTATGTTCCGGCGAAGTCGGATAGGTAACCACTTGAGACGTGAGCGAAATTGGGAAGTATGGTCAAATTCCGAATACTAGTGTTTTCAAGTCTCTCAAGCTTATTTAGCTGGTCGTCAGTTATGTCTACATAGCTTGTGTCAGCAAAGTCGAGAATCGGAAGGAGAAGAGACTGTGCGAGCATAATTTTTGTAGGAATGGGAAGGAATGATCGAAGGCTATGCAGAGAACAAAGAGCGATAAAGGTTTTCTTAGTTTTCAGTTGTATCCAATTCAAGGAATTATCGAGTAAAATACCAAGATTTTGACATTGCTAAAGTAATGGATTACAACTCCATTGAATTCGACAGGTAGTGCCAAGAACCAGTCAGTTCTGAAGATAAAGCTCCGGCTGCCGATGTTAATAGTCTGTGATGTTTTGGGATTGACATTTATGCCATATGACTTATTGCACTCATGAATAATATTTAAATCGTTATATTATAATTTCAATCGTTATATAATAATATATTAATAATATTTAAATTGGACGTTGCATCCATTTGCGTTTTCTATCGTATCCACCATGGGGAGTGTTCTGAGGAATTGTTCGGATTAGTTCCAGCCGCCAAATATCACGAAAGCACATAGTGTCAAAATTCCCGGTACCATCCTGATGCTTCGCGATCCACCACTGTACGTTTTACTAGGACTTTTCTTCCTCGTATAACTTCTCTGTGGAATTCTTTACCATTGGCGACTTTTCCGGAACGATAATACTTAGGGACCTTCAAGAAAGAACTTACTCCTTTCTAAAAGGCCGGCAACGCAACTGCGATACCCCTGGTTTGCGGTTGTTCATTAGCGGCGGTGGTCACTTACTATCAGATGAGCCACATGCTCGTTTGCCCCCCTCTTCTATAAAAAAAAATTAATAATGGTTTATATTAGCATTTATTAACCATGCCCGTGGTGTGAAAAGGAACAGGACACTGCGGCAACCAATCTGAATCCCCTCTAAAGTAATCTATGAAGGAGGCCTATGACTAGCAGTCTGTTGTATTAAATGAACGAATTTTTAATTTAAGATATTTTTATATTTTACAGGACTACTATAGCTTTAATTGGACTGTAAAACACCAAGCTACTTACATAGTAATTTGAGAGACGACATTCTCGTTTTCATTTGTGGAGAATCATCATCCGTATTGAGCTTTTCTTTCTCCGCTTCTTCTGTTTTATGGTTGTCTTCTGTAACAAAAATGTAATTACATAACATAAACACTCACGCCTGTCACCCAGAGGGGTAGGCCGATACTACAGGCTTCCATTTAGCACGATCCTGACATACCTTTCTCGCCTCTTCCACATCCATATACCTACGCATACATGCTCGTCGGTTAAGGGTACTCTTAATTTGGCCCATTTTTGTATGTCGCCAATTTGGTCAACAAACTTCCGCCTAGGACGTCCCTTTCCGACTCTTCCATTCACTTCTGCAAGATATATTTGCTTTGTCAGTCTTTCCGCATTCATTCTTTCTACATGACCAAACCACCGAAGCATTCCTTTCTTAATCCTGGTCACCGCATCATCTTGCAAACCACACTCTTCTTTTATCACACAGTTTCTCACCCTGTCACTCAGATTCAGCCCTAACATACTCCTTAGCGACCGCATTTCTACTGCATTTATTCTACTCTCGTGCTTCTTCTGCCACACCCAACTTTCACTACCATACGTTAAAGTAGGGACTAATACAGCACTGTGAATTGCCATACGTGCCTTTTTTGACACATTCTGACTTTTCACAATAGAGTGTAGAGCCCCATTTACTTTATTTCCTGCATTCACTCGTCGTTCAATGTCCTTATCATATCTCCCATCCCTGCTGAATACACATCCTAAATATACGAACTCATCCACTTGCTCAATTAACTCTCCTTCTATTCTTATTTCACATACCGTTTTGCTTTCATCTCTTTCAAAAACCATCACTTTCGTCTTACTTGCGTTCACTTTCATTCCCCTTTCTTTTAAGACCTGTTCATTAATGTAACCATCATTTGCAACTCGGCCGCCGACGACGCAAGTATGACTTGATCATCGGCGTACAAAAGGCATTTGATGGTTAACTCACCCATTCTTAACCCGCATTCTTCAACTTTCAAATTTTCCAAACAGCTGTCCATAAATAGGTTGAACAGCCACGGGGAAGCTACACAGCCCTGTCTGACACCTTTATGGATGCCAAACCAGTCCGAGTAGACCCCGTTGATTCTAACAAGCACTCGAGCCCCTATACAGAGACTTTAATGCCTGTATCAAACCAGCGCTCAACCTAAATGCGTTCAGCGTTTGCCATAACACATCCCTGTCCACTCTGTCATAAGCCTTTTCCAAGTCCATGAACGCACAAGAAACTTTTTGGTTTTTCGCCAAAAACTTCTCCGCGATCATGCGCATGGAAAAGACTTGATCTGTACATTGTAATTATTATATAATTATATAGTAATCATTACATTTTTGTTATAGTATAATTATATATTTTTGTATATATAATTATATTATATTTTATATATTATTATAAATTTTATTTGGACTTTTTTACTTATGTGCTTTTCTAGGCATGGCTGCAACTTAAAATTTCTTAAAAACTCAAGACCACACATGATCAGCAGTCGCGTTGCGACCACTAGACCAACGATGCTATCAAATAAGCTTAAGCAATAATATGGAAATAGTAAGCCTTAGTGGTTTAAGAATTAACTAAATAAAATTCTCAGATGCAAATGTTGACTCTCTATTCCGAAAATAAAACGCTTTTTTTCGTAAATAAATCCATATTTAAGATACTTATTCTCCGATCTATATAAATATATAATAATAGTTCTAAATCCAACATGAAAATGAAGATACTATTAAAATTCATGAACTCCTGGCTTCCGTGTTTTATGTATAGATTTTATGGTTTCAAATTGTTCTTACGAGTTTTAGAATCTTCTTAAATTTATCAAAAGCTTTTGTTGACTTCCAACAAATGCAGATTTTCTCAAGATTTCCATGTAATCTAGAGCAACTATAGTAAACTTTGAAATTGCAATATTCTTCATATAATATTTCTATTTCTTTGTACGTTTATTTATGCTTTATTTGCACACTAGGTACAAAAAAAGCGGACTACCAGCCCAATTCTAAGCAGGGAAGATATTGCGGATGCAAAGTGCTAAACAAAAATTTTTTTAATAATAAATGCACGCCTAATAATAACCGTCATAAAGACGTACTAAGATACATATAAACTTTCGGTAACAAATTAATTTAACTACACCAACATAATTTTTGAACACAATAAATAAGTCAATTAAAGGCTATCGAAATTAAATAATACACACATTATTAATTGTAGTGTTGCGCGACGTAATTAATGCCTGGTACATGGCGAGTACCAACTAGCGCCATCTTATTTTTTTTTTGCGCACGAAGCAAATATGGGCAACCCTCCGGAAAGCGGGGGAGGGAGGTGGGGAATGCTCATAGCATACCACGCAGCCGGCTGCGTGGTTATGTGGAGACTTTTACCCACTAAACCCCACCTTTTAGGGACTGGCTTAACGGTCTAACTAGAGATCTCTAAGCCGTATACGGATGCAAGCCTCCTTGGCAGAAAGGAGGGCGCAGCCATCTTATATCAAATAGCAGAACTAGGGAAGCTTTCTAGAAAAATCCATACTACAAACATTTTCTTCTACACCTAGTCAGTCGACACCGGTATGTACTCGAACATTATAGATGTTTTAGTAAGAGAGACTCTATATACGGCCGGTATGGACCGCGACCGAATGAGTATTGAATTGGCGATTCAAGCGAATACTTCATAAGCGATATAACTTCGAACTAAAGTGTTTTATTATTCCATTAGTTAAAAGACCAGTAGGGGGGAACAGGCCAGCTGACAGGAGGAACAGCTCTAACACAGGAAGATAAGGAAGAGCAGATACCTTTCACGAAGGACCTTCAGGCAGCTTTCGGTAAAGGGATAAGGGAGGTAAGGGATAGAGTTGCTCAATATGTACACCGCCTGTCGGAAGCTAAAACGCGAATCTACCAAGTGAACAATCAGGTTATCAACATGATGGCTGACGTGAAGAAAACGCTGGACAACCTCAAACTTGGGGATGGAATTACAGCTCCCGTAGTAGCTACAACACCTTCACTACGTGGATTCAAAGTGCCGCCGTTCGACTGGATTTCTTCCTTGTCGACATAAAAATCCAGTTCGAGACTGTCATGAAGGCGAACGGCTGGAATATAAGTCAGGCCATGACTGCTCTCACCGTAGGCCTTCGCGACCTGGCCTTAACTGTTCTGGAAGCTTTCGGTAAGGAAGTAACTTACGAACAGCTCCTTGAGTCCTTGGAGGCGAGATATTTCAACGCTCACCTAGAACACGTCTTTTGTGCGTATCTTAAAGATTGCGCGCAACGCAGCAAGTAATACCTTCATCAGCGAGCGCTTGAGGTGGAGAAGCTGGTTCAAAAAGTATACCGGTCTGTATCTGCGCTCATTGAAGGAAATCTGGTGCAGTCATGCATCGACGGCATCTGCGACTCCGCGCACGACGCTTAAGGACGTCTTGGCCGCAGAATCATCGTTCCCATCGCGTCACGGGGGTTACTGCAGCTACAGTTCGCGACCGCAATAAAAGATACAGCACTAGGAGCTTTGGATGTAGGGAAAGGGGTGATCTTTGATTAAGTTGCCATAAGCGAACTGTAGAAAGGGAAGATAATCGATCTCGAGAAGGTAGTGCGGCTAATAACAGCAGTGAAACGAGTAAAAGCCAGGACCACAGGGCGGATGCTGGCTGATTTTGGAAGAGTCCCAAGGATTTCGATCTCACAAACCCACGATGGTAGCAGCCTAATCATCAAGGGCGGAGCGGTATGCCGTGTAAACTGATCCTAGATGTGTAGCCTTTTGCACGGCTGTCTGTTCCCAATTTATAAGTCTGTTTCTTGGGGACTCCGCATACAACCGAGAACGTATTAGTTTGGTGACAGCCACCGGTCAGGGCATACCCATCCGTGGAGAGAAGAAGATTGAGTTGAAGCTAGGCACCACGATCTACCTGCATAATGTCGTCGTAGCTGATATGATGGACGACTGCATCCTTGGCCTAGAGTTTATGAGGAAGAATTGTTGAGATGGACATTAAGCAAATGTTTTGAAATGTGGACAAGAGGAACTTTTATGAAAGGGGCGTACTAGGGAATGTGTACAGCCTTAAGAAGATTGTTCTTCCACCGAGATCGGAAACGATTGTGTCGGTTAGTCTTCCTCGAAATCCTGAGCAAGCTCATCGTTGTGTCCTCATGAAAGGGTAGACAACGAACTTCTATGGAAAGTGGCTCGAACCTTGGTCAGAACCACTGACATCTCAGGAGTACGTGTGTTGATCGTTTGTGATCAGGAACAGATTAGAGAAAAAGGTACACAGGTGAGTACTTGTGAGGAAGTGGATTGAGTGCGTTGGTGCCAATATCTATCGACTGGAACCCCCAGTAAGGGTGAACAAACGAGAGTGACCACACTTTGAGAAGACTGTCGCAGCGTTTTCTTGCCGAATGAAATGGTCAAGGTGAAGAAGTTGTAACTCAAGTAATGTAAGATGTATTCTCGTCAAATGATGCTGACATAGGGAAGAACGGCTTAGTTCAACACAAAATAAACACAGGAGAAGAATTGCCTATCCGCCAGCGGCCAAGAAGATAGCCGGTAGCACGTGAAAAGGAAGTAGAAACCATGATTGAGGGAAGAGTAAAGGATGCTGTTTTTGAAACTTCGTCTTGTCCATGGTGTTCACCTGTGATGCTGGTAATGAAAAAGGACGGCAGCATGCGGTTTATGTTGACTACCGCCGTCTGAACGATGTAACAGTATTTATTGATAAATCAATTTCATAATATGTTATTGTAAAATTTGTATTTACAAATAGGAGAACTTTTAAGAAAACTCCGTACTAGAACCATTATACTGATACCTAGTCAGTCGGGACCGGTATGTACTCGAACATTCTGGATGTTTCAGTAGAAGAGGCAATATATAAGGCATGTATTGAATTGGCGGATCAAACGAATAATTCAAAGCAATATAACTACGTACTAAAGTGTTTTATTATTAGTGCCTTAGGTTGTAATTGGTGTTCGGTAATTAAAGTGTCAATTTTTGTAATTAAATCGGCTTTTTATGTTACGAACCGCAATCTCGTAACAGTATTTATTGATAGATCTATTTACTTGCATCTGTTGCAAATGTTCTATTTCCTTACATAAGTTAGTATTGATAAATTATTCTGTTAGCAAATCAAATCAAATTTATTTATTGTCAGAATAGCTATTAGTAAAATATATGAATTGAAAATTTACTTGCAAAATCACATTTTTTTCAAAGCTTCAGAAAAGATTTTTGTGAAATTTTACCTACCAGTACCGTTTTAGAAATAATGTTTCTATTTAAACTTTGTATTGTAAAATAAAACTTTAATATTTTAGTATGCATATTTAACAATTTTAGTATGTATTTTATTCTTGGTAGAGGCACGCTGCAGCAATATTGTGGTTGTAGCACGAATAGGTCGGCTCGGCTGGGGAAAGACCATGCTCTACCAGAATACCAGCGTATAATAGCATCTTAGTGCTGCTTTGTTTTGTATGGTGAGTATAGAGAATCGGAGACTCTTTTTAGTGGAAACGAGGTGAGGCAACGTACCTGCATTTTTATTCTTAATCGAAGATAAATGTAGATGTATATGGGCTACAACATTCGCTTACTGTCACGTGAACAGTGTGCTCGTTTCCTCTTTACACGTCACCCCCATTATATATTAAAATACCACCTGGACATAAACATACATATACTTTCTACGATCTATAAAACTAAAAACTGATATATTCTGGCTCTACCTACAGTTTACATTACATAAAACATATATTATGAGTATCATGTACGAAAATTCACTTATTTGAATATAAACGCTACAATACTAATAATTCCGATAATTGCGTACTCGTTGGTGTATATTTCACAGTAATAACATTCCACTAACCTTAGTTTAGATTCAATGACAAGTTATAAATGATTACGTTATATGCAGCTATTTATCTACCTGATTTAAAAATATCTAAGACGAAAATTCTATTATATTTGTTTTAAGTAAACTTATAGCTAAATTTTGTTAACATAGTGATAAGCGACAAAAATTAATATCTATAGGTCTCTTCAAAGAAAACATTACGCAGTTTTTTTTTTTACGTGTAAGCTATAAAGCCTAATAAACAATATATTTAGTAGGTATAAAAAATTACTCGATACTCTTAAGTGTGACAAAACGAGCACACAGTCCATCTGATGGTAAGAGGAGGCTGTGGCCCATAGACATATACATCTGTCATCTAAGAAGGATCTCCGGTATTCAAAATCACCATACAAGACACCACAGCATTGAGCTGCTATTTTACCCAGGTATTCTGTGAAAGCGTGGATCTTCCCAGGTTAAACCGACTCGTTTGTATTACATTCATAATTTACATATTACATCATTGCTGCTTTAGTGTCAGTTGAAACAAGATTCGCCACCGCAAATTTGTGTTTCTTTAATGGTATGAAATTAATAATAAAATATTAATTATTAAATGGTATGAATTTCGTTCTCACTTTTTTAATTAAATAATTTCAGTTAGAGAAAAGTGAAAGATGAATTTTCGTGTGGTGATGGTGATAGAGAATCATCACCTCATTACATGCCATGAGTGTCGTAAGGTCGTAACTATGGTCAATGCAAGAAAAACTAATCTCCCCTCCTCCGACTCCCAATTTATGGCCTATAACCTAATATAATCATTAATAAACTTCAAGACATGGTTAAAGTAAACCTTTTTTACGACAGAAATGCCCATGTCCATTAGTAGACTTTTAAGTACTGATAAGAAAAACAAAGAAGATTGACAATGATAAGATAATTCTTATTACCGTTTATATAATTATGGTGTCTTTACTTCTATCGACTATAATTGTTTGAAGCGACATTACTCTATTGGTAGGGTACGGACGACTCAGGGAATCAATTATTGAGTTTTCCGTCAAGAAATTCCCAGTAACTGCCCGGAGTCAGTAAATTGGCGGTGTCTTACCCCCGTGCCTCGGAAAGCACATAAAGCCGTTTGTTAGTACTGCGTCTGTTCTCTCTCCGGTCGTGTCGGTTTACTGTCACATCGGATTATGAGAGTGAGGGAATAGAGACTGCATCTGTGCTTGCGCATACACTTGGGCACTATAATCCTGTCCTGCGCCGATGGCTAGCCTCCGTTGAGGCAGGCCGCCGTGGCCGAAATTCGGTCTGGAGAACATTATTATTGTTATTATTATTATTTTGTGGAGAACCGCTCTACGCAAGCATTTATATGTTTACCTAGAGAGGTTAACGAGAGTATTGGTGATGTAAATAGCGTTAAGAGTATTCTTTATTTTCAAAATGTTTTGATATTGTACCTTACGCTACGTATACTTCTATTTGTCACTGAACTCCTCCTAAACGGCATAACCGATTTTGATGAATGTTTTTGTGTTTATTTAAGTGGTTTGGTACCTGGATGGTTTATATTCACCGTTGAATCCGTAAATGCCGCTGGTTTTAAGATTCAAACGTCACCCGTGTGAAGCCTAGGTAGATCACTAGTATATTATATTTCAGCCTTAAAGTAGTGAGAAAAACAAATTCAGTCAATATCAAAAAAGTACTTATTCCTCCTTACCAATATTCTTTGCTATTAATTCAAAGACCGGCGTTATCTGTTGTTTAAGCTGCGACAACTCTTCTAAAACTGCTGGCGACTCTCCTCTATAATGAGCTATAGCTAGTCTAGCATCCTGAAAATATCAAGAATACAATTTTTTTAATCCCAAGCTGTGCTCCCTCAATGTTCAGTGGCGATGTAAGGATATTCACTACCACATATCGTTCCATGGGCGTTACAAGAAGCGACAGAGGAACGAACCAGAAGATGGACAGCAGTGTAATCATTATTACAACCAAAAAATTAAAAGTTTCCCCAAAGTTTTTTAAGAGGGGGCAAAAAAGCATGCAGCTTACGTGATGGTAAATGAATACCGCCACCAATGAACAACTGCTACACCAGGGAATATAATATAAGTGCGCTACCATTTATTAGAACCGACACGCTTCTATCTTAATGAGCGCCTGACGTATACCAACAAGCACCTTTTCCATAGGGCTCGACAGAAGGCACGGCGATGCAACAGGCGTTATGCATGGACAAAAAACGGTGTAATATTTGTGAAGCGCGATTCTATGTCTAGTAAGCAAAAAATATGTATGGACTGTGACATTGAAAAGGTTTTTGGTTCTTCATGAATTTGACCTTTTTTATAAAACATTCTTTAAATCATGGCACTATGGGCATTTATCTTTCATATAATAATTTTGTTTTTATTTTACGTTTGATAGGATAATAGGTTTTGCTGTGTTTTGCAATGTTTTTGTCGTATTTTGTTCAGTTTATTTATGTATGTCTTATATATATTTGGATATTTTTTTAACAATTAAGCGACCGTTTACCTTTAATGATTTGCTGAGCTTATACGAAGGTAACTGTGAACAAAATAGTATTATTTTTCTTGCTTTTAATTTATTTGTTAATAGTTCCTATTGTCCTGCTATTATTAATGAAATTGTATATTATTCTTTGTATAATATGCCTGCAATAACAAATTTAGATCAATTATTTCAATATAAAAACGTTCGGGTTCATGTTATCACTGTTAAAATGTTCATACCAGCATCAAAGTTACATAATATAATACAGCTAGGTGTATTATATACATTTTTGTGCAAGTTTAGTATTAACTGCGTCTCATATTATTATTATTTGTATTATTGTAGCATAGCACTAATTATATCTATAATGTTATGTATTTATAATTTAATATCTCAATATGTAGCTACATTGTGTGATAAATACTTAGTTAATTTAAGCCTTAATCAAAGATATCATTTGTTCTTTTTCTCACACTTACATAATGGTTAGGCCGCAGAAATTAAAAGTTGGTTTTTTAAATCCCGGATCACTAGATACGCATCATGATGAGTTCGTGGTAGCTATGGATCGTCTGAGAGTTGACGTGTTGGCTTTGAGTGAAACCTGGCTCAGGGCAGGTGAAGAAGGAAGGGCACCTCGTGTGCCTGGTTACCACCCGCGACATACTCCTAGGCCGGCAGAAGTTCGTTCTCGCGGTGGCGGTGTAGGTTTCTACATAAGACGTGGTACCAGTACGTAATCCACCCTACCCTATATCGCAGTCTATAGAACAAATGTGGCTAAGCGCCAAAATCAATGGTAAAATTGTCATAATTGGCACTGCGTATCGACCACCTTGGCTTCAAGTGCAAAATTTCATTGATGGTCTTTCAGACACAATAAACACGTTCTCGTCGTATGATTATTAACTACTTCTTGGCGATTTTAACATCAACTACTTAGTTAAATCCAACCGTAATACTAAAATATTAGATGAATTCATTTTAATAAAAAATCTTAAACAATATGTTAACGAACCTACTTATTTCACAACTAACAGCAAAACGTAGTTGGATCTAATACTTTCTAACGTATCCCTAAACAAAGTAGAAGTGAATTACATACCTGATTTGAGCCATCATGCGTTTATATCATGCGAAGTCAATCTTACTACGCACAAATGTCCACCGCGACTTGTTTTTTATAGACCAATTAAAAACATAAATCCTGAATAATTTTATCGAGTTTTAAAGGGTATGAATTGGGAAAACATCGTGAATGTGCAAGATGTTAATGATATGGTTGCTGAATTTAATTCAACCGTATTATCTATATATAATCTGTTAACTCCGATCAAAAAAAGCCTATATTAAGGAACAATATCGTCCCTGGTTAACATATACAGTGAAATTAATGATGCGACTCCGTGATCGAGCACATTCAAGGGAACGTTTAACAAAAATAGATTCACATGTAAATTATTATAAACAATTAAAAAAACAGGTCGTGACTGCTATTTATAACGAAAAGACCGCTTATTTTAACACGTACATTAATTGTAATATTAGAAACTCTAAAACGTTATGGACGCACTTACATCGTCAAATAAATATAAAAAATAAACATAATACTTGTCTACCATACAATTTGTGTGACGCAAAAAAAAATTATTAAACATTTCCTTGACGTTCCAGCCCAAAATTTTGCTTCTCAATCCGCTATCAACTACTTCGAAACCCATAAATTTAGCTCTAAAACTTTTTAATTTAAGGAAATTGATAGTAATACAGTTTTAAAAATTCTACATGATCTGAAGTCGAATGCCATTGGGTTGGATGAAATTTCACTGGAAATGCTGTTATCCACTCTCCCATACTCTTTAAATGTTATTACGGTAATTATGAATAGTTCTCTGAGAGCTGAGACATTTCCCAAACAATGGCAAACTGCTTTAAATAACGCTGCTTCCTAAGACGGATAATATTAGGAATTTTGAAGACCTGCGACCTATTAGCGTATTACCCTGTTTGTCTAAAATCCTAGGGAAAGATGTATGTAATCAGTTAACTCATTATTTAGACCAAAATGAAATACTACCGAGTGTACAGTCTGGCTTTAGGAAACGACATAGCACTACAACAGCTTTGGCCGATGTAGTGGATAATGTTTTAAGTACTCGGGATTCCGGTATGGTTACAATTCTAGTTCTTCTAGACTATTCCCGTGCATTTGACACGTTAAATAGGCAGTTGTTATTCTCTAAATTAAACTACTATGTATTAAGCTCGGAAACTATAGATTGGTTTCGTAGCTATTTTAATGACCGTAGGCAAATTGTCGAAGTAGTAGATGAAAACGGCAATAAAATAGCATCTGATTGCTGTGCTGTTACAAGAGGTGTTCCGCAGGGTTCAATACTTGGTCGCTTGATTTTTTCACTGTATAGTGGTGATATCGTAAAACATATATTAAACTGTAGCTATCATATATATGCTGATGTTATACAAGTGTATATTTCTTTCAAGCCAAATGAGAGTACTGTAGCCATACAAAAATTACATGAATCGTATAGTCGACTGGTCTGAAGCAAACACATTAGTACTTAATCTTAATAAAACGAAATATATGCTACTTGGTACCAAAAAGCAATTAAATAAAGTTTTGGCAAATCTTCCTTAAATTTCAATTAAAAATGTAAATATTGATCGAGTTACTGAGATTAGAAATTTAGGAATATTGATGGATGAGGCACTACACTTCGAAAAACATATAATAAATAACGTTACAAATTGTTTTTACAGATTAAAAGTACTATACCAGATAAGGGATGTATTAAAGACGGAAGTCCGTATCAGATTATGTGAGTCCTTGATACTGTCCAAATTCAATTATGCAGATGCAGTAATAGGTCCTAAACTTCTCAACCGTTCAAAGAAACTTATACAGCGCGTACAAAATGCCTGTGCCCGCTTCTGTTTTAAAATACCTCCCCGTGCACATGTTACACCTTACATTAATAATGCGAAAATGCTCAAAATGGATTACCGCTGGCAGTTGCATTTTACTAAGCTGTTGTTTGGTTGTATAAAATACAGGACGCCGTCTTATCTCTATGAAAAATTGCGCTGGGCTCGAGACAATGTCTTAACAAATGTAGTGACAAGAGCTTTGGCGTACGGGTTGCTTCTGCCTCAGCACCGCACCGCTGCGTTTCGAGGCAGTTTTCGATATGCAGCAACCAAGTGTTGGAACAACTTGCCGCCGCGGTTCCGTAATATGCAATCGATACATAGCTTCCGTCAAAAATTTAAATTGTTCCTCTTAGATCAGCTATCTCAAAGTTAAGTAGTGCAGATATTTTGATAGTATGTAATTTTATAAATAATGTATGAGCGTGTATGTGTGTATGTATGTGTGCTTGTTTATATTTATGTATATATATGTACATAATATATATATATATATATGTATATGTGTGTGTGTTTGAGTATGTATATATTATTTATTGAAATTATGTAATGAAGCGGCTGGTTTGTGTATTTGTTTGTAGCTTAAACTTAATTACGTTCCTGAGTGAATTTCAAAGCAACCTCTTACATTATTATATATAGTATTAATATAGTATTAAGAATATTTTATAAGAATTATGACAATATCACAAGAAATAAATTTTTGTTATTATATTTGGTTTAACACAACAGAACTGCCCTCTGCACTTAAAGAATATATAATAAAAAAAAAAAAAAAAATATATGAAAAAAAAAAAAAAAAAAAAAAAAAAAAAAAAATATATATATATTTGTGTATTTTTATTTTAAATATATAAGGGTGCCACTGAAAATCAGGGTTGGGGTGTTGTACTTCTGATACATTCCAACATATCCTGAGTGGCTTTCCTTTTTGGAGCAGAGCAGCATTAACGGGTGGATTATCTTTGTAATACACCTTATGCATTACTCCTTATTCTCTAGTTTTTTATTATTATTATTATTTTTTTTTCTTTTTTTATATTATTGTTTGCTTTTTTTTTGTTTGTTTTTTTTTTTTTTTTTTGTTTTACCATATCTATAAACAAGGAGTGAGTGTCCTGTTTCATGATTTCTATTTATAATTTTTTTTTTTGTTTTTTGTTTGTATGACTACTTAAATATTATGTGTTTTATGTAATCCACTTGAGTGTGTTGCATGTGCCAAATAAAATCTGTTTCTTTCTTTCTTTCTTTCTTTCTATTAAATAAGAGTGGGTTTTAGTTGCAACTTGTGCGGAGCCAATGCAAAATCCAATTTAGCAGTGAAATTTCAACAGACTGTAATTTTCTCTTTCAAAAGTCATGGATCAAAATGCGATAATAGATGCTCTTACGCCGCTATCACACGCCAGATTATTAAAAACAATTTTCGTTAAATACCACACTCACCTCTTCTCTTTTCTGTCGCAAAAGGTAAACGGGGCTTTCCGTTACCGTCATCAAAAGCGCCACTCCCAGTACGCTGCAGGCCAGGTTCACCCACACGATGTATCGGTAGGTCAGATACCAACCCAGTATATAGGACATTTGAATGCCTATACAATTAAATGCAATTGGAGCTGGGAAAGAAAAAGGTGTTTAAAGATGACCTCATTTTATTATTCTTTATAAAAAAGTCAAAGATAAAGTCAAATATTTTAATAAAAATTGGCTTTTACAAAGCACTCTTTGTATGTCAAACGCTTCAACATCGCTTCTGCAAGTCCCTGCTGCAGACACAAAAATCGTCTATTTTTATCCCAAAATTTACAAATTATCGCTTTAAAATATATAATAATATATATTTAAAAAACAAGTTATAAGAAAGAGTTAAAAAAATTAACTCGAAAGAGTCAACTGACTAAATTGTCATTTCAATTGAATTTATTCATTGGTTAATTTCATTTACTGCATTCATTTCATTCATTCATTCTTTATCGCTTTTCTCTGCCGACGGTTTGAGTATTAACATGTGAAATAGACGTGACTTTTATACTACCATCAACTGGAAGCTATAAGGTCTGTCTGGGATTTCCCGTAGTTGCCTATAACACTAACAATAGATGATCCAAAATTCCCATGATTAATTGAATCAAACTGAACAAAACTTGAACTTTTGGCTCTAGTGGCTCCGGGCAGCAGAAACTTATTGCTAGATGTTTTTCAGGCCGCTAGCCGTGAATCAGACAGATCTGTAAATGCTAAAAGGCAAACAGCACTAACATCATTGTAAGTAATAATTTTTCTACCCATTCCGTCCATCAATTACAGCCTTTATAAGTCCAATGTTGAACTCAGGGCTCTTTTATAGACTCCATGCTTGGCAGGCGATACACCACAAGAGAAATCACAGAGTTTGTAATTTTGACTTATTATCAGGAAGATAATGCTGCCTGTTTCCTCTTTCAGTTTCAATCTGTCGCCTCTTAAGACACCCACGAGACGATATAGGGCAGCTGATATTCTACACCGCCACTACATGCTTATGTCTCGATCGCATGACTATAATTTATTATATGATGTAATTGAAATGCAATGTTATTGAAATACCAGATGCCAGTGTTCCTCTTATAGATTCCTCAGCGATTTCCGAAATAAACATAGGTCCGTAGACGAAGGCAGCGCCGCAACCTATACCTCCAATGAACCTTCCTATTAAGATCATCGTTGATGTAGAAGAGAGATCAATCATTGCCCATGATACCTGGTTATAATTAAAGCTATTGACTATCCTTGGTGTTAATTCCAAATAAGTTGTGACCAAAAATATTAATAAGAGTTAAAATAGAATGTCAATTATTACAGAAATTTAATTAAGCTTTAAATTTGACTTGCCATAATATTAGGAAGATAAAATTTTAAGGAATTTGAATATCAAACATATTAGTTATATTTAAATATTACGCTATGTTTCCTCACATACTTTAAAAGCATATTATAATCATTATGTTAGAACTATTCTTTATAGACTCTTTTAACTCTGAAACGAGGCACTCCATCGCCCTTCTCAGTGGTGACAACGCACTCTGCATTTTGATTCTTAATCAAGGATAGATATAGATGTCTATGAGCTATAATATCACTCACCATCAGGTAGACTGTGTGTTCGTTTGTCGTTATGATTATCTATAAAATTAACCGTAAAGAAAAAAATTAAGATATGCAAAGAGTCATTTACTCAACTACTCAGTAGGCGAAACGTCATTAAACAGTGTTTACTTTAAGAATAAAGAAAGTTACATTGCTAGTTTGCTACTCATAAAAGTAAGTAAAATTAACACTATAAAAGCTGTTTAAATTGGCTTATATTAATATACATATTATTTATTTTCCAGTTTTGAAGTAAGAATAAATATATTACCACTATTCTGAAATAATATATCGAACTAGTAATGGCTAAGTTTCCCCTTTCCGTCTTATACAGAGTAAGTGTGAAAAGCGATCACACAGTCCAGGTAAGTGGATGTTGTTGCCCATAGACATTTACATTTATCCTCGATTAAGAATCAAAATGCAAATGCGTTGTCACCTTTAAGGGCTAAGACGTAATGCTTCTTTTCCAGTAAAAAAGGTCTCCGTTTGTCTACACTCACCACACGCACTGCAGCATTAAGCTGCAATTTTACGCTCGTATTCTGTGAGACCGTAGTCCTACTCCACTCGATCTGACTCATTCTTGCTTTAAATATAATGTTGCTGAAGCCTGGCTTTACCCCGTGTACTACGTAAGTATGATCGATCCCGGTCGAGCCGACCCGTTCGTATAAGTCTCGACAGCCCAAGTATAAGTATAGTATAAGAATAATAAACGGGCTAACAGTCCACCTAATATTAAGTAGCACTGGCAATGGCTACCTGCAACCAACTTTGAGAACGGTTTTCTTCCTCGCACAACTTCCTGTGGAATTGGCTAACATTAGAGATTTTTCTGGACAGATACGACTTAGGGACCTTCAAAAAAACAGCCTACTACTTTTTAAAAGGTCGGAAACGCAGCTGCGTTTCATTCCCCTGGTGTTGCAATTGTTCATATGCGGCGGTAATCACTTAGGTGAGCCGTATGCTCGTTTGAATCTCCCATAAAAGTTTCCTCTCCTATGAAAAAAAAACAGGCTACAGATGCGACTTACGCGACTTTGCAACTATGAGATATGATGATGAGACCTGGTTTGGTTTAGTTTGTGGGCAATGGTTTCCGAAATATGGCCGTATAACCATCCCGGTTACGCCAGATTAGACATGAGTCATTAATTTGTATCTAGTAACTCAATTATTCAAGTATTAATTCGTCTTAAGAATCGGGTCATTCGGATCAAATAAATCATTTCAAGTATCAGTACTCTGTGATCTGTGAAATACATAATACTCGATACTCGTTCTTCATATGTCTTAGCAATCGTTTGATCTGGATCGTTCAAAAATGTAATTTCAATCGTCAATACTATGATGAGATTCGAGTAAAATTTTATCAACCGTTCACGATTGACGCATGACTACGCCAAATGTAAAAATGTGCCGTGTTAAGGCAAATCCTCCCTTTAACGATTAAGGCTCAAGTAAAGTTATACGGGTTGGTAAAAAAGACAAAAGATTCGTAAATATGTCACATAACATTTTCTTACCACAAACGGAAGAACTAGCAGCATCCCGCCCTTTTGTCTTCCAAATTATTCAATCACAACACCAGTTAGAGCAGTTCCGACCATGGCTCCAAGAGGAGGGAGGCTGCCTAGTAAGGAGCTCTCTACATCTGTCATTGGCGCCGTAAGTAACGTTGTATGGCTGTCTTTAAACAGCTCTAATGTATATGAGGGCCATACCATAAGCAACCCCAAAAGCAGTGCGCCAAATGAACCTAGAGAAGGTAATCATAATTAAAAACAATGCAATAAAAGCCCTCAAACACATATACCCTCTCGCATATACTTATACTCGCAAATAGCCACCTATTACTTGATTTCAACAAGCTGTGTTGACTGAGAGAGAATGCCATCGACCATTAAGTTATCCCTTTGTTAGTTTTTGTGAAAAAATAGAAAGACCTATGGTCTCTATTTTTTATTATATACTTACGTATATCTATGAGAAAAACGTTTGTATAAACTAAACGCCGCATAGATATACAAGTTTGTTAGTACTATTACTTAATTCTGGCCAGTTTTAAACAATAGAGGGGCTAAGTGAGCGTAGCATTAAGAATAAAAAAAACTGGAGAAAGGCAAGGTACATTTTTGTTACTCTAAGACGGTGCGATTTACTATCTGTAAGGCCGGCTTATAATAAGGAAAAATGAAAGAAGAAATCTTTCAGTGTTCCAGATAAAAAAAAGAACTGAAAAACGCTTGACTCTGTAGGCCATCCCTGGAACTTCTCACTATGTTCGATCTCAAAACGTTCGACAAATATTTTTACGAACTAATAGCTACTCATTACATCAAAAACGGTTCGAGCGGAAATTTCAAACTGATTAAAAAAACATTTTGGGAGGGAAGATTTATGTGTTGTAATTCCTTCGATGATTTCCAGAATGTATCTTAAAGAATACCGAGAGGATGGCTGTTCCGCATCTGTGCAAGCCTTTCAGGACAAAAAATTACTTTTTTTTATATAGGATAGGGTAACAAACGAGCACACAGTCCACCTGATGGTAAGTGGTTGCTGTGGCCCATAGACATCTACATCTATCCTCGATTACAAATCAAAATGCAGATGCGTTGTCACCCATGAGGACTAAGATGGAATGCCTCGTTTCCAGTAAAAAGAGTCTCCGGTTCTCTACACTCACCATACGAAATACAGCAGCATTAAGCTACTATTTCACACTGGTATTCTGTGAGAGCGTGGTCCTACCCCGGTCGAGCCGACCCATTCATGCTAAAACTATACTTCTAATATAACTGCAGCATGGCTCTACCACGTATAATTATTAATTTTATCTAGTCAAGGTTATCAATAACTAACTTCAACAGTGGTAGAGTCACGCGACAGCGTTGCTGTTGCACGTATGGGCCGGCTCAAACCGAGGTGGTACCACGACCTCACAGAATACCGGCGTGAAGTGGAAGCTCTGCTTCCGCGTTTCGTCTGGTGAGTGCAGGTGGCCGGAGGCCCAAATCCCCCTCCCCCATCAACATGGTAGCGGAATTAAATAATGATAGACTACCCCAGGAGGGTACCAGCACCCCTGGAGAATCCCTCGCTGAGCATCCACGACCATGTTTCTCCACTTCTGAGCACGGGTGCTCAGGCTGCCCCGCGTATTCTGGGGGGGGGGGGGGGGCAAAAGACCCGGGCGACCCCTGCCACGCTGTCCGTGAGTTTCTGCAATATCAGGGGACATCACCCTAACCTACACGCCGTCCACTATTATCTCGAGACGGCGAGGCCGGCTCTGCTCTTTCTGACCGAGACGCAGGTGTCCTCTCCGGCTGATGGTTCGTATCTCTCCTACCCGGGGAACAAACTGGAACACTCCTTTGTGCCTCGGGTTGGAGTTTGCGTTTACGTCAGAGAGGACATCTGTTCGCGACGCTTCGGCAGACTTGAAGGTTCGGACCTGTCCATCCTTTGGCTACGCGTAGACAGCGACGACCATCCGCGCGTCTACGGGTGCCTCTATAGGTCCCATAGCGGTAATGCCGAAACAGACCGACTCTTCGACCACGTTCAAATGGCTACAGATTCGTTGCTACAGCAGATCCCCTCCGCAGAGATCGTGATCCTCGGCGACTTTAACGCCCATCACGCCGAATGGCTTGGTTCACGTTTAATCGATCATGCGGGGAGATCTGTTCATGATTTTGCCTTAGCATATGGTCTTACAAAACTGGTTACTTCGTCTACGCGGATTCCAGACGTGGAGGATCATGCACCTTCCCTGTTAGACCTTCTGCTGACCTCTCACTCGGACGGATATCAGATTTCCGTCGAAGCCCCTTTAGGCTCCTCGGACCATTGTCTTGTCCGGAGTGTGGTGCCACTCACGCTGAAATCGAAGTTACATTCTGCAGGCTGCCGCCGTGTTTAGCACTATAGGTCAGCCGATTGGGATGGGATGCGGTCTTTCTTGGCATCCTACCCTTTGGGGCGTGTTTGCTTCTAGCCTGACGATCCCAACGTTGTTGCGGATTCTGTCGCTAATGTGGTACTTCAGAGTATGGAACTTTTTATTCCTTCCTCTGTGGTGCGCATTGGAGGCAAATCTCAGCCATGGTTTGGTCGCTCCTGTAAAATAGCATTATGCTATATGCAGGAGTTCTACCGAGCCTGGGCTGACGCATCAGCGTCCCGGGATATAAACACCAGCGCAATAAAAAAGAAGTATAATTCCGCCTCTAGGTCCTTCAAAAGCAAGGCAAAGTCAGAGCACATAGGCAGAATTGGTGAGAAACTAGTTCGCCTTCCTTCTAGAACCCGTGCATTCTGGTCTCTCGCCAAGGCTGTCCAGGGGAATTTCTGTCAGCCATCTCTTCCATCTCTGCACAGGGAGGACTATTTACTGGCCCATACCGCAAAGGAGAAAGCCGATCTTCTAGACTCTTTCTTTGCGTCCTACTCGACTCTCGATGACGGGGGAAGTACGTCGCCGACCATCCCGCGGTGTGAGTGCTCCATTCCGGAAGTACAGTTCACACAGCGCTCGGTTCGGAAAGCACTCCTCTCCCTGGACATCCACAAGTCGAGTGGGCCTGACGGAATCCCCCCAATTGTACTGAAGACGTGTGCTCCAGAGTTGGCACCAGTTTTAACGCGTCTTTTCCGGTACTCCAACTTCCTAGGCATAGTCCAAAAATCATAGAAGACGGCTTTCGGTCACCCGATCCCTAAAAAAGGCGACCGCCCAGACTCGTCCAACTACCGGCCTATCGCCATCACCTTCTTGTTCTCCAAAACAATGGAGTCTATTGTAAACGGCCAGCTCATGAGGTACCTTGAGGATCACCAGCTGATAAGTGACCGCCAATACGGTTTTCGCCTTGGTCGGTCAGCTAGTGATCTTCTGGTCTACCTAACTCATAGATGGGCGGAGGCAGTAGAGTCCAAGGGAGGCATTGGCCGTTAGTTTGGACATTGCGAAGACCTTCGATCGGGTTTAGCACAAAGCGCTTCTTTCGAAGCTCCCTTCTTATGGGCTTCCCGAGAAATTGTGCGATTGGATTACCAGCTTTTTTGCAGATCGGAGCATCAAGGTCGTTGTAGACGGTGCAAGCTCCGATTGCAAGCCTATTAGTACTGGTGTTCCACAAGGCTGCGTGCTATCGCCAACGCTGTTTCTTCTGCATATCAATGATATGTTGCGATTGCTATGCAGATGACAGCACTGGTGATGCTATTTACATCGGCCGAGCCAATATTTCTCGGGAAAACGTCTCCAAGTGCCGGGACAAACTTGTGTCCGAAGTCGAGTCTTTGCTGAACAGAGTCTCGGATTGGGGGCGACTAAATCGAGTCCAATTTAACCCCCAGAAGACACAAGTTTGCGCGTTAACTGCTAAAAAGAACCCCTTTGTCGTATCTTCTCAGTTTCAAGGCACTCCCCTTGTTGCCTCAGCCAGTATCGGAATCCTCGGCGTTGACATATCGAGTGACGTGCAGTTTCGTGGTCACTTGGAAGAGAAGGCCAAATTGACCTCTTAAAAGTTCGGCGTGCTCAGCAGTGCGGGACAGTATTTCATGTCGGCACACCGCCTGCGACTTTACAAGGCGCAAGTTCGCCGCACATGGAATACTGTTCCCATCTCTGGGCTGGGGCTCCCACCACTTGACCGCATCCAGCGCAGAGCGGCTCAAATAGTCGACGACCGAGTGCTTTCCGATTCACTGGCACTGCGAAGAGATGTGGCATCTCTTTGCATTTAATTTCGCATATACCATGGAGAGTGCTCTGAGGAATTGTTCGGATTAATCCCAGCCGCCAAATTTCGTGAACGCACTACGCGGCAAACGTCCCGATACCATCCACGCCATCTGGATGCTTGGCGGTCCACAACAGTACGTTTCAAAAGGAGTTTTCTTCCGCGTACAACCTCTCTGTGGAATAGTTTACCACCGGCGATTTTTCAGGACCGATATGACCTGGGTACCTTCAAGAAAAGAGCTTACTCCTTTCGAAAGGGCCGGCAACGCACCTGCGATTCCCCTGGTGTTGCGGTTGATCATGGGCGGCGATAGTCTCTTAACATCAGGTGAGCCGCATGCTCGTTTGCCCCCTCTTCTATAAAAAAAAAAAACAAAAAAAAGTGCTAAGAGCACTTCCTATATCTCTCGCGAGTTCTTCACCTTACATAGTGTGGAGCTGTACTATAATTCGCTTACTGGAGGGCTGCCACATATCAAATTTTCTTCCCCATCCTTTTCAGTTCTTCGAACTACATGGCCGGCCTATCGCCACGTAATTTTACTGATTTGTTAGATTTTTAGGTAACTCTGGTTTTACTGCAGATATATAAAAATTAATTACAGAAAATACATATTCAAAAATCAACTCACTTGAGATCGAAGTATGTATCTGATGTAATTTCCCCATTTTAATATCTTCGCGTTAAATTTCACAGTATGTAATGACTAACATATGACAAATTCATGAATGACTTTAAAACCGCTAAAATTCCATTAAAATGCAATATATATTTAACAATGATTACTTTTATCGAATAAATGTAATTGAGGCTATCAGCGCAAAACTGGTGTAAGCCACAATTTTTGCTGGTTGCGGTTTTGGTGTAAACTACATTCCGTACATTATCAACTTTAAATACAATAGTGGAGTAAGCCACCTTTTGCTATCCAAAAATAGATGGCGCTAAAACATAGTTTTGTACGGAACGTAATGTAGCAGACTAAAAGAACAAAACT